GACAACATCATTACTAAACAACAACAACTTAAAGATTAGATGACCTTCAAGTTAAAAAATCATAGAAAATAAATCTGTTTTCTTAATTTAAAAGTGAAAAATGTACATTTTTGGACTTTGGCCTGGTTTTAGCATGCTGTTAGCCAGAGTCTGTTCTTCTTTTCAACTTTGATAATGCTTCTGGTATCGTTAAATTAGCTTAATGCTCGAGTAAAGCTATAGGCAGGCTTCTAAAAAGTGGGCCACTTTTGAGTATTAGCATACTAAAGACCAAAACAAGTGTTCAACTAGTAAAGTTAAACCATTTAAATGAAATTCAAGCTCAAAGTTTGTATTAGCAAAAAGAAAAACCTGAGTGCTAGCATGTGTTGGGTTGTGTAAATGCTAACTAACACTGTGTGAAGCTAACAGTGTTCACTAACATGCAGCTTTAATGTTTATTGTGTTCAAATGGACACATGAGCTTGGCAACATTTCTCTATTGCATATGTCTCTAAACATTTATTTTTACTTTATTTTAACTGCAACTGCTCATCACCACAGATCATCTATTTCACTCAACACTCTTTATGGTCTTACTATTTCCCTCCTGCCTGGCAGCTCCATATTCAACATCCTTTGTCCAGTATATCCACTATCCCTCCTCTGCACATGTCCAGACCTAAGCTGTCTCTCTGATGTACTCATTTCCAATCCTGTCCCTCCTGGTCCCTCCTAATAACAATCTCAAGATCTTCAATTCTGCCACCTCCAGCTCAGCCTCCTGTCTTTTTGTCATTGCCACATCTCCAAATCATACATCATAGCAGGTCTCACTACCATCTTGTTCCCCACTCTCTGCTTCCCTTTCACTGTTGCTGCTATCCTTCTGTCACAAATCACCCTTGATACAAGTCTTTTCACCCTGCCTGCACTCTCTTCTTCGCCTCTCTTGTGCACTGTTGTAAACTTTTATTTGAACAAAAAATGGTTAGGAAATTACAGACCTGCAAAATAAAACATCAATGAGGGTGCACATTAGTACATTTAAGAGAAGGAAGGAAGAAGTATTTCAATGGGATCCGCTGAATGCTTTGCACACCTCTGAAATAGTCTCACTCACGCAGAGATTAGAGTCTGTTTTTCTTACTAGAAATGTGGTTCAATCTGCATCTGAGCTGTCACACTTTAGCATTTTTATCTTTTGGGGTTTTAATCCATGCACTGGGGAAAACCTCATTTTTAAAATTACCTTTCTGCTTTCAAATTTGCATGCTAAATATTAAACTTTTTTCCAGCAGCCTGTTATCTTGACTTTGAAACTGTGACTTAAAAATGAGGCAAGCAGCTGCTTTTAACAGCTTATTTCGGTCTGAATTTCATCAAAGACTTGAATACGAGTACAGAACCACAGTGTAAAAGTCCATATCTGTGGTTTTACTGAGTATGATGGATTAAATTATTGGTTTGACTGGACACTATTGCCTTCTGGAGTCCTTTTGTCGCATAATACTAAAACTTGTTTCTACACTATACTGCCAAATATATTCACTTGTCTGCCTTCAAAAGGACATGAACTTAAGTGACATCCCATTCTTAATTCATTGGGTTTAATATGATGTCATCCCACCCATCCCACAGCTATTACAGCTTCAACTCTTCTTGGAAGGCTTTATGAGTTGATGGGAATTTTTGACCATTCTTCCACAAGTGCATCTGTGAGGTCAGACACTGATGTTGGACCAGAAGGCCTGGCTTGTAGTCCCCAGTCTAATTCATCACAAAAGTGTTCTGCTAGGTTGTTGTCAGGACTCTATGCAGGCCAGTCAAGATCTTCCACACCAAACTCTCTCATCCGTGTCTTTATGGAGCTTGCTTTGGGCACTGGTGCACAGTCATGTTGGAACAGGAAGTGGCATACTGCTATACTGTTCCCACAAAGTTGCGAACTGTAAATTGTCCAATGTCTTGGTATGCTGAAACATTAAGAGTTCCTTTCATTGGAACTAAGGGGCAGATCCAGCTCCTGAAAAAACACCCCACACCATAATCCATAATCCCCCCTCCATCAAACTTTACACTTGGCACAGTGCATAGGACAAGTACCATTCTCCAGGCAACTGCCAAACCTACATACAACACTGTTTTGCACTGTGTGATGCAAGGCAGCAGCTCTGTCATGGAAACCCATTCCATCAAGCTCTTTATGCACCGTTCCTGAGATAATCGGAAGGTCACATAAAGTTTGGAGATCTGTAGTTGGCGAATTCTGTGAACTGAGGTGCACAGTTCACCGCTCTGTGATTTGTATGTGGCCTACCACTTCATGGCTTTGTTATAGTACCACTAACAGTTGACTGTGGAATATTTAGTAACCAGGGGATTTCACAACTGGACTTGTTGCACAGGCGGCATCCTATTACAGTACCACGCTAGAATTCACAAAGCTCCTGAGAGCATCCCATTCTTTCATAAATGTTGTACAAGCAGTCTGCATGACTAGATCTTTTATACATTTGTGGCCATGGAAGTGATTGGAACACCTGAATTCAATGATTTGGATAGCAAGGGAATACTTTTACCAGTACATCTGTATATATCTTGGATTGTGTGCAGCTTAGCTAGAGATAGGTTTTTGTTGTTTGCTAGTGCTTTTTTCAGTCTTTGTGTCAGAATAGACAAATGAAGACAACTTTTCCACTCTTAGTGCCATTTACTTTGAAAGAGCTAGCTCAAGCTGGTTAGTGCTGATGTAAACCATGAAAACGTTTTTAAAGCTCATGAACTTACCAGAATTGATGCCAAAATAGGAGTTTTAATGATCCACCAGAACACATCGGTGTTTTCTATTATATCCCAGCACCTGGTAAGACGTGAAAGAGTTTTAATGTATAAGATGTAGCAAAACAAAGCAAAAAAACCCCTCAAAAAACAAAACAACACAAAAAGAGTATTTTCTGCTCGATTCTGGTCTACCAGTTGCCTAGTCTCTCACCCCACATCATTATAGTTGGCTTTAGCGATGCTCCAAGCTGTGATGAAAATTGCTGGACCGCCTGGGGGCAAAAAAAGCATACAACCAAAAGTTACTGTGAATTCCAGCTGTAAGGTTCTCGACCTGTAGTTGATGTACTGCTGACACTCTATAAGGTCTCGTTAATAGAACAAGAAACAAGACTTTCTCACCCCAGCCGATCAGAATATAAGCCCAGAAGTACTTCCTCTCGGAGAAGAAGGAAACGGCCAACAATGCATGCAGATAAAGGCCTTCCACCAGCAGCCAGAAGAAACTGGCCATTATACAGTACTGGAAAAACACAATCACTGCTTTGCAGCCAACCTGGCAATGGACACAAAAGCATGAATCATACAATGATCTAGTTAACAGGGACAACCTTATGTTGAAGATGATGCGGTGAAATTTATTCCCAGTTGTGGCCAAAAACTGCATTTAGAAAATGAAAGAATAAATTGGAGTTATTTGTTTCCTGTTGGTGAAATCAGGTATATATCTGTGTTCTTTTATATTAATACGAATCCTATGACTGCAGTAGAATGACAATTAGTTTTTCTTGTGCCCTTATTAATAACTTGGAAGCAGAAATTCACTCAAATGCTTCTTTTATTATCAATAAATTCCATGGACATATTGCACTAAAAAAGTGAGTTACTACTTATGAAACTTTTGTAAATAATGGCTTTAAAGGTAGTGCAAATCTGTGTCCTATTCAGCCTGCACTTTATAAGCTCTCTGCCTCATTCAGTGAAAGAAAAGCTGCCAAAGTGCAGAAATGTTCCGAAATATAATGCAGGAAGTGAGAAGGATTAACACTGAAGCACTCATGAAGCATTTGCGAAAGATTGGATTTAAAGAATGTTTTTCCAAAGAACAAAATGACCCATAGCTTCTGAGATTAGCCGAAGCTGAGTGTGACTGAATTGGAAAGTGTGCTGAATTAGTAGATTTATGAGTAGTAGTAGATGCCCTGATAGGAAATAAGCTTCTTCGCTGGGAAACAATACACCTTCACAGCCTGTTTGAACGTGCTTATTCTGCTTGATATTATGATAGCTGAATAAAATGTTTCTGCGTAAGACATCTGAGTCTGCATTCACAAGATTTCCATAACACAGGAAAACACAATAAGCTCTCTTCTGGTTGGCTGAACAACGTTTGCGTGAGGGTGGATGAGTTCATTCAAAATTGAGCTTGCTGATGCTGAATGCCGGGGAGGCAGGCTGCTATTGAGATTGTTACACAACGACATGTATAAAAAGGCTGATTTTGCCTGCAGTGTTTCTAAATTCACTCTGCTGGTCAGATCTACAAGCGTGTACAAGCAGCTTTAGAGTGAGCAACGCGGAGATCCTACGCAGAAGACATCACACGGATAAGAAAAATCAAACTGTGCTCCTTTAAAAAGACCCCGTAAGAGTGAATACATTGAGCACTTTAGCAGCTGGAGTACAGCAACAGAATAGGAAGGGCTGGGCTGAAGGGCATTATGGGTAGAGAAAAGTGGACAGTAAAGAAGACAATAAAGTCACAATAAAGAAAAGAAAATCAGAAAAAGCTGTCAGGTCTTTGTCACGACAATAGAGTTGAAAGAAGAACAAACAAATCATGATGTGTAGTTGGACAGAACCTACCTCTTATGCAAAAAATTTGAAATGCAAAATGCAATCATGACACGCTTTCTGTTATAGCCACTTTCTACTGTAGTACATTTTAGATGGAGATATTGTTTAGATATTGAATTTAAAAAAAATATTTTCGATGGGATGCGATGTTTATTTAGCTTTCAAAAATAGGTTTTGAAAGCTAAATAAACATGATAATCTATGGCTATCTGATAATATCTGAATCTGGCTTAAACGTGAGGATTTTTTATGACTACGAGACTTAAAGAAACTGGCTTTCGAGGCTGACATTGTGCTGGTGGCTCAGTTAATTTAAATCCAAGAACTGGGTCTCTTGACTTTGTTTGCAGCACTTTTAATACCAAAAAAATATTGCAGCCTGTCTAAAAAGTCTCCAGTATTGGTGAGTGATTTCTTTTTTTCTGTTTTCAGTGGCCTTGACAAGCTTTTGTATGCAGTCTATGTTCCACACAGGCAGAATATAGACAAAACGAGCAACCTGTCTGAGTAGACAGAAGTCTTTATGTATGAAATGTCTTGCTTCTAGCTTCTCCAAAAACATGCGCTGTATTGAAAATATTCACATAATCCAGAAATGTCTTGTTCTGTTTTAGTCCTTGTGCATGGAGTTAAAGTTTGGGACAGCTCATTGAAGCAGCTCTTACTGGGCTGACAGGAATTTTGTAACCCATATAAATTGATTCCCACTTGGCATGTTGAGGGGGAAGAAAATGGACCCAGATGGGCTGCCTAAGCCTTGCTGCTTAGTTTAATATGTGCAAATCAGTACAAATTGATTGCTGGAGCTGAGTTTTAAAAAGCCTGCCGTTAGTCGCTAAAGGAGGATAAATTGTGAGATATTATGCCACTGGAAAAACAGGGAATAACAGGAAGCTCAGACACAGATCTGCATGCATTTTTTAAATATGCTTTGAATTAATCGGGTGTTTAACTATGGCAAACATCCAGCTGTATAAGAAGAGATAATGAATGGAGCATGCAGAACACCTGCACACATACAGATAAACACAGCAGGAGCAATGCTAACAGCTGTAATGGAACTAATGTTGGGGTCACGATGAGCACCGCAGCACCAGACCCGTCTCTATAATGTCTCTTTCAAATGTGCCATGATAGCAGCTGGTTCCTGTCAACCCAGCGAGTCCATTAACGTAGTGCAGCCAACCACAAAGCTCACTAACAAATAGAGTGAGCCTCTGCTCATTGTGTGGCTAAATTCTGTAACATGAACCTCATGTTTATTGGCCACACACCTGACGGGGCTCTGGACTGCGGCTCATTGTGAAGGGGTGATGGTTGAAAGCCAAAGGACAACAATCAAAGACTGTGGGCTGTAAGTCCATGTTTTTATTACTATTTTAATATTAACATACTTGGCTAATGTGTGGCTTTTGTTGTGAGATTGAAACTGAAAATTGACACAAGCAGTTTTCAAAACTTTTAAGTTATTCATCAGCTATGATATGAGAACTTAAAATGTCAGTAATGATCAATAATGATCAATGATGCTACAATACTAATACTGTACTGAATGTACTGTAATACTGAATGTATTGAGGTCTTATCCCTTGAGGAGTTATTTGAAGTTCTAGGAGAGCAATCATTAACAAGCAGCATTAACTCACAGAGCCCGAGGAGCAGTTGTCCACCTCCCCGACCTCGTAGAGAACCACATCTTTGATGAAGACAGCGATAGCCTTCAGGATAAATGAAACAAACAGATGCATGTGGATGTAGTTCCTTGTGCAGTGGAGTTTCCTAGGACACACAGAATGAGAGATACAAGAAAACAGATCAAGACAAAGCGACAAGACACGCGCCCTGCCCTGCATGCTAATTACACAATGTCCTCAGAGTTAATAGCTTAAAATGACAGCAATTCACAGACACTTAAATCATAATTACATTTCTTAGTTCCCTTTCACTGTGTGGGTGGATCAGTTTTAGAGCACAATAAATGGTTTTTATGGTTCTTCACACACCTTTGAAAATAGGCAGGAGAGGTGGATTTCCAAGAAGTTACAGGAGTAGAAACAAGCAGTTCTTTTAACACTTCTTCTGCTGACTACATTATCATACTTTAGAGGTAATTGGGGAAAACAGGTTCCTAATAGCTTCAATCACTTTTTTATGTCAGAAATGGTTGTTGTCTGGGCAGGTAAATATTCGCCTGGAGTACAGCACATTCCCAGTCAGTTAATGTTCCCTTGGACATCATAACAGTTTCATTTAACCTTACCTCATTCCCAGGAGAGTAAATTGCCATGATACCATTGTTATCCAGATTTTATACTCACATCAAACACCAACTGCTATTTCATTTAAATCCCTATTTTTCTTCTACTTCTACTTTCTTCTAGTTCTTCTTTATTCAGTTTCGGCCAGCCTTTAGCTGTCAGACAGATGGTCTCATATCTGACTCTAGAAACTGTAAACCTGACTTTTAATGTCTGTATGAGCTCAACAACTGTTCATCCAATCTACTTTTAATGTGTTGGGGTTCCTGCATATGTTGCCTTTTAGAAATGCGTGTAGTGAACCATATAGCACTAATACTGCTCATAATACCCCACGGTCATAACTCTCTTTCTGGCTCAAATCTGTGGGTTATTTTGATTTCACACCTTCACACCTTTTATCTCCCTGACCGTGGCCGGCCTTGTGACTTTGGGTTCATGACGGTGAGCAAAACTCTCAGGTGGACACACTTTGACACCTATTGCTTGTCTTTGCAGAAAGCATGAAAAGTGCCTCTTATCAGCAACTAATTCAATAAGGCACTTTCCGGTGACAAAAGACTCAAAAAGAAAAATGTGACCAAAAATAAAATTCAGATCCATATAACAGAATAAATGTTACTCCACCACTGCGGCCACGAAAAGAAATGGGTGGCTGTACACTGAGAGAAAGCAACTTCCATGTACAAAATGAAAACACCTGTTGCATCATCACTGAAAATGAAGGAGATAAAATCAGCACACATCATTTCACAGCTCATGCACTTAGGTGGGGATTTTTGCAGCTGCACAGAAAATAGAGTATAGAGTATTTACAGTGTTTGGAGGGCGTGTAGCACACAGGAAGAAGAAGTGCTCGAATGTGGCCCACCCATTTACACATACAGTCTTTGTACACAAAAGTTATTTCTTTGCAGCATTCATAAGCAAGAAAAGTTCACTTCGCATCCTACTCAGGCAGACAAATTGCATACAGCAGTCTTTCCAAAAAAAAAGTAATGTGCAGTATTATGTGAGTCACTCTTGAAATGTCCATTCATTATCTTTTAGGGTGAAGATGTTGCAGTTTAAAGCTGGCTTCTTATTCTTCCTCAGAACTGTAATTGCACTTGAGGAGGTTACAATCGTTCCCTGGCTTATCAAGCAAAAATGCCAGTCCTTTTTTTATCCCGCAATACTTCAAAAGTCTAACCTTCAAAGTGCTGCATGCGCCATCAAAAGATAGAAGAGTTTGAGTGACAGTTTATTTCATTTGGAAACTATTTGTATCTTTCATCTTGGTTTAAGCCTGCTATTATACTCGGGTGTGAAGTTGCAGTGATCAGAGACGATCAAATTCCAGCAAAAAGTGTTTGACGCGTGACACAGAAATGTGCAATTTGTCACAATGTTCATGTCACATCAGCCGGCAGGGATAATGCCACTGTCAGCGTGCTTTGTAGATAATAGCTCGTACTGATGTTCGTCACAAAAATCTCGCTTTTTGTTCCGTTCATCTTTTTTCTAAACAACTGACCACATAAAAAGAAGTTAATCCAGATGGAATGAAATTCACAGTGAGTGCAATTAAATAGCACATAAGTACTTAATATAAAACAGCTGAGCTATTGTGCATCTACATACCTGAAGATGCAGAGGATCACAATAGCGGTAGTAAGCGAGACGAGCGATACGCTGTGGCCAATGGTGTAGCCGATCTTGACTTGCCAAAAAAACTTTCCCTGCACAAAGAAACATAAAAACAGAGAACAAATCAAAGAAAAGGAAACAGCCGGTGCATGTTTACACACTCAAACAGTGACATCACTTGTGTTAGTTGATTTAACCATTCAAAACATTGATTTGTTTCAATTTTTGGCTTAGAGACGTCTTTTATTATTGCTGTTAAGCATTTAGGCTCCACTCCTGTCATTTTTAAGTGTTGTAACTGAAGAGCTCTTGAACCACGGTTTTGTGTCTCTCTCTCACCAAATACTGGATCAGTCCAGTCATGCGATATACTGTAACAGCATCCTGAATTTCTGGATCCTTTCAGAGAAGCTTCGCTATGTTACTGCCATGCCACTGTATGTTGTGCGCTTGATGGAAATTAAATTAAGATCTCCTGCATCCTCTGGCACACTCACACATATCATGTTTGCAGTAAGACGGACATCAAATTCCTTTTAGAGTACTTCACCGGGCCAGGTCCCTCCTGACTTCCTATGTGGCATACTAATGAGGCCGCCTCTTTGACTCGAAGAGCAAAGTGCCCACCAAGAAAGCTTTTACCACCCTGCAGTGCACATCCACTCTTCACTCTGCTCCACCTTCGTCAACACAGACAAGATTAGCTCGGGCTGCAGTAAAACTGAACTAAATAAGAGCAGCATTTGATTTATTTATTCTGGCCCTACTCCTGGAAGGATTCTGAATAACTTCTAATGACTCATAATGCCTGATAACGGAGGCGGGAGTTATTACTGACCTGTCTGTGTCAATTATGCCAAGTGTGTTTCAAAGACATTCGTATTTTAATTACAATACGAATGTTTTTGTTACAGCATCAAACCAAATGACCTTATAACCATAGATTTTCTTTCTAATCCAATCTTTCTCCCAATGTATGACTAGCACAGGGTACAGCTACTCTGGTTATCTTTACAGTTAAAATATACATTTATCAGAACACACTGTTACTCTTTGTTGAATCTGTACACAAACATGTACTCCTATTAAATAACACAGTTCTGCAACCAAAAAACTGCATAGGATTTTTACTGAAACCGGCAAAAACATTTTAAAAATTCCATCACGTCAAGTTTTCTTGCAAAACTCATGTTTTTAGTTTCATTTCCCCTTTTAAACTGAAACCTGGTATCCTATACTTGAGTCAGAAAATCGTATCCACTAAAGATTTCTCACATTAATTGAATATTTCTAAGAGCGAGACTCAAGAGAAATACAAATAGAAAATGCGAGGGATTGAGGGGTCAGTAGGAGGGGGAGTGCACGGTGGGTTTGGCAATGGGAGGAGCTCAGATGATCATGTCCCAACAGGTTTATTTTGTTCATAGCAAAAGGTAAGGAATCTCCCCCCCAAAAAATCATAGTAACTGTAATAAAATATTTATTTTTTTCATTGCTGTTGTGCTTTTGTTTAATGTAAACTCCTCCTGTTTTGTAAAAAAAAAAACATGATGTACATGATGGAGGGAAATGGAGATCATTTTTGGATTCACCACCTAAAAAACATCGAATTTACCAAAATATCCCATGCAGCTGGAAAACTGTATTTGCAGACCTGTGTAATCTGCATGCATCAGATTACAATTTTAAGTTAGCGACCATGTAAATACAGTATGTATAAATAAGTACGCTTTAGCAATGCAGTAATGCTAAGTAATGCTATCTTTAGCTTTGTAAAGACTAGCAGGTTATCTACTTCCACACTTTATATTGAACTAGTCAAAGTATCCCGGGTTCTAACGCAGCACTTCATAGTTATGAGTCAGTGAATTAAATGCACCTTCCTCAGTATATGGGCAAGTTACCTGTATACTAAGGAACATACTGCATTAAGCTGTTAAGTTAGTTGGGCATGTTGCTGTGTTCCTGCTAACTTTTGCTTTCTTAATTTCTTAAAATGCAGTTTAACAAACAGCTTTTCATTAATTGCATCATCTTGCTGTTTCCTGACATTTATGTACATTTCTATATTATATTGACATTTAGTCCAACAATAATAAAAAGCCTGTACATGAAAATATAAACAGTATTCTTTGACAGCTTCATTCTATATATTCTGTAGACTCAGTCACTTGAGGCAACTCAATACATAGGAGTGAACAAAAGCGTATATGAGGTACACAGTGGCAACCAATCAATACAGTAATTTCCCCAATACAGCCAATAACACCCACCCACAGAGCAAAGAAAAGAGCTTCTCATTCAATCCTTCCTGACCGCTGGCTCTGGACACCATTTCCCGCTGTGCAGCTCTGGTAATTCACTATGAGACTGTGTCAGACTACTCACGTCATCGCTAGTGCTGTTGAGATTGTATCCACAGCTCACAGCAATGTCAATAGGATGCATCTCGGTCCAGCCATCTTCTGTGCAGGTTTTCGAAAGGTTACCTGGAGACGGAGAAGAACCAAAGAGGTCACAGCCACCCAAGCGTTACATTTCCTCTGCCTGCCCACCAATAGGTTCAAATTGGACACGTTGTGACATTGTCAGTGACCCAACAGGTCACTGCAAACAGCAAACAACGGCAAAAAAATCAAACTCTGCAAAGTGCCACAAAAAGTCTTTCCTGCTAATGTGAGCCGCTATTGACTTGTACTTTACCTGAGCCTGCAGAAAGGCACTCTGCTGTTACAGATATTGACTGATCCGTATCTTGCCATTCATCTAACCCCACATAATGATCCAGGCAAGAATGCATGCACCAGATAATACTACCATGCCCACAATATACTGCTTAAAATTTACTCTAACAGCCTATTGTTTAACATCTGATGATAATATGAATAAAAATAATTAAAAATGTTTAATTATGATAGGTCTACTATAGATATTATATATAGATAGAGGGTTATGTTTTCTTTCAGATTTTCCTGATTAGTTATAATAATATGAGATTACATTTTAATAATAATAATAATAATCCTTTTGCAAAAAAATGTTACAAATTGTATATATTACTTGTGTACCATCTGTCAGCTAAAATCAGCTGGTTGTTTTGCATTGGTGACAGTAAGGTTGCAGAGTGCCCTCTGGTGGGTAAACTATGAAACAGCACTCAGGATAATATGGTTGAAGGGTGTTTCTATTTCTTCTTGATGTTCTGTTGTAAATGCTGGTACTGATATATTGACTGATATTGACCATGCTGATATATCAGGTCGGCTCGATTGTAAGATGATATATGTAGGCAAAAAACAATAAATGAATGATTCTGCTGGAACCTTTTGAGTGATTCATACTGCACGTCTCAACATTTTGCGCCTCACCAGATTAATTTAATCACAACATACTTCCATTATATATTGACAGAGAGCGTTGACTGGATGGTGTGAGACTTTCTTTCAAAACTGGTATAAATCACTCCTAGAAAAAACACAATTTCTTGAGAAATCCCAGCTACCATAGAGCGAAAAGCGGGGTACACCCTGGCCAGGTCGCAGTCTGTCACAGGGTGATATTTTGAGTTTTCTGTTCTTTTCTATTTGTTTTTTTTTTTCATTATACCTTTTCTTTTGTTTTTTAAACCTCCTGACTTTGTAATGAAGTATGCAATAAAAGAGAATCACACAAATCTGTGACCGATATTATCTGCTTCCCATAACCTGATTTCTATTGATTTGTATGGAACTGAACTTTCACTTCTAATATTTCTGATTTAGTTTGTTTTTTCTTCTTTTTTGTGGATTTCCTATAGAGACTTCTTTAGATGGTCTCAAAAAATATTGAGCCACGTTATTTTAAGGATGTTTAGTTACTATTTCTCTCACTCTGCAGCAGAAACTGTCTGTCATTTGGTTTATTTGTGAAATTTGTTCATGGTTTATTCATTGATGGGGCATCAAAGGTTCATGTAAACAGCTTAACTACTAAAAGACCTTAATTTTAATGTGACCGACAGACAAGCTGCTCTGTGCATATAAACAAAGCCGCTTATAACCAAATGATATCAGGCAGTGAGCTGCTAATGAAAGAAAGTGCAGCAGGAGGTTGTTTCTACAGCATAAACACTGCTCAGCGCAGAGCGGTTATGTGACTGAAATACCTCTTCTGTGACTGCATTTACGCATCATGCTCAGATGCTCGAGTCTTATTTTACCATAAATCAATTTCCCAATTTGCCAAACACACCTTCATGGATGCGTAAGTAAACACACATACACAACATCAGGCTCATTAAATCAACATCTTCCACATTCCTCATCTGTCACCACACAACTTTTCAGACAATTTTTGAAGCGAACGGCACGAGCTAAATCCTCCAGAGAATCCTGAATGAATACATTGACTAAAGCTGACTTGAAGTAATCGTATAGGCACATGGACTCATTCATTTATAGTCTGGGTGGAAGGGATTCGGTCTTTCCACTAGATTTACTCCAGGGTATTGCAAAATGGCAAAGCAGAAAATCGCCAAGAAGCAGTGTGACCTGACCTATACTCGAGACCATTTCACAAATAAAACTTAGCATAGAGCCCTTGAACAAATGTTGTGTTTATATGGATCGCTTAGATTACAGAAAGAAATCTATATACCAATGTCCCAAAAGAGTTGGAAAAAAAGCTTGTCTGTCAGCACCAACAACTTGATAAGAGATGTTTTCGAATATGGTTTAACAAAAAGTGCTAAATATGGTAAAAAAAAAAAAAAAATTGACAATAATCCAAACAAATCCCACTCTAAAAGAAAAGAGGGGGAGAAAAAGCAAAATTTTAATTCAACCACCTTCAAGTACAGAAACAAAAGCTAGAAAACTGATTTCATGCTTCTTTATTTAGCATGTTAACAGTTCAAACGGTTTCAGCAGAAACACATCAGTAAAGTCCTCCATGATCGCTGTTGGTTTTTTCATTGCATGGACACAATTCACAATATTAATAAGAGGCGATACCGGCGGACTCTGAGAGTCCCATTATGCTGACTAACAGCTTAATCTGTGAATTGTCATGCAGGACGAAGGTTTTGTCAGGATGCTGTCAGGCTGCATAAGTGGAGATCTGCTGTCTGGTGACAGGGTTGAGCCATTTGCAGAGAAACGGAGAGCTGGAGCATAGTCACCACCATGGTCAGGTCTCTATGAGGAGCATCTTCAAATGCCACTCGTCCCTCAAGTATGAAGGATAATATCGGATTTATCATCATTTCTGATGCTAATTTGTTTAATTTCCTTTTTGTCCTCTGTCATTTCCATAAAAAAAAAAAAAGAGTACATTTACATGAGCGTATTTAATAAAGCTCACACAAAGGCTACAGATGCCCTCGAATCAATTATGACTCAAGTGAGGGCAAAGATTTATTAGATTATTTTCGTCTCTTTGATATTGATTTTTCTTTATTGGGCATTTGTCTTTGCCAAACTGCAAACTCAATAAGCACTGGGACACAAAGAAATCTACTCATTTGATCTCTAATAGCCACAGTCTAGTAGCTCGCAATTTTCTCTAATCGAATTTTTGACAAGCCAGTAGATTGTTACAAATTTAAGTGCTGGGATATTTCGGACTGCTTCTCAGCAGTAATTGATGCATTTTGGCATTTGGTGTTGCTTTTGACGTCAGATTGATATTTAGATGGAAAATGATGCGGCTCAGTCCTGGTTGTCTTTTTTGGTTAAAGGCACGCTAACCAATCATGATGCCCAGCATGACGCAGCACATCCAGATGCTGACATGCGCAACATCTATAATATTTACCGTATGTAATATGTGACTATTGTAAATAATATTTACAATACGCTTAGAGAGGACTCAGGCGCTAGCTCTCAAAGTTGTTGGTGTCTCAGAGATGTACGAGAGACAAACAAGTGGCATCAGCAGTGAGATGTGCGGGAAACTTTTTTTCATGTTTTTCTTTAATCCAATTTTGTTTTGGAAGATTTAAAGAGATTTATTCCAGACATGCAGTTGCAGTCTTTGTATCCCTCGAGAGGACTTTACCTCAAACTATTTCCCTCTCTGTTTATTTGCCTATTTGCATTCACTCTTTGTCGTTGTTATCAGCGGGTAATACCATCAAGCTTTCTATTTCATGTACACATTTTATCTCTCTAGCTGTTTGTCTTTGTAATAGGTTTCCAGATATTCATATATTCAATGACTGCAGCCACCGACCTCCCTGACTGTTACATATATACTTTTTACCTAACTCAGAACTTCGGACTTTAAATAAATTCCACAGCTCTTCTGACAAAGCGCTAACGCTGCCACTCAAATGTCAGCTGCAGCTCAGGTGTAAAGCTGTGAGAGCACAAGAAGCTCACAACAAGCAAAGCTTGTGATTTGTCCACCAGGCATGTCAGTAAACAAGCTTTTCTATCACAAGCGCCCAGGGAAATTCCCCCACCAGGACAGCAAAGGTAACGTCATTTTTCCATGGTTTCCTTTAGTTTGTGTCTCTGGTATCGCTGCCACAAAAGAACACAAGAGCAGTCAGGTGACAGAAATCCTACAATTTATACTTTTTACACTTTTTATATAAATTTAGCAAAATAACATGAACTGGAAAAAATGCTTTTTGAAAGGAAGGAGGTGGGTTTAAACACAACAACAACAAAAAACATTTTCTGGTGGGGGCAGTTTCAATCTGTTCTACTTGAAGCTAGATTATTTTTATTAGTGAACTCCAATACAGAAAAGTTGATTTGGGAAAGAAACATTTAAAAACTGTCAGTAGAATATTATCTTTTTTGGGTCTCCCTCCTACTTTTGATGTTGTGGTATCAAAAATGTACTTGAGGTGAGATGAGTTTCCTCCAACTATCCAAAGAAATGCCTGTTAGGTTAGGTGGTGACTCGGCCATAGATATGAATGACAGTGTGAATTGAAGTCAATCTGTCTGTGTTAGCACGGCAATGGATTTCACTTCGAAAGATATTTATGCCCAAAATGATGACTGAAATCCTGAAATCCCAAAAGGGAATCCTGCAAAATTCACTCAGGGAGGCTTGCTAATATAAGAGACTGATGAAATCAAAATAATAAAAAAATAGTTTAGTTACAGTTTCATGATGTTATTTGAATGAGAAACTAATCGGTAATATTCTCACTTTAATCCAGTGTGTGTTGGTGAGTGGTGGGAACAAAAACAGCAGAGACCCAGATCTCTAAATGTAACACATGACATAAGCATAATGCTGAATCCTTGCTTTTTAAGGCTGATAAGAGGAGTACGCTTTGGGTTTAATAAGCTCCCAGAAATTTTACTGAAACACAAAAGTCTGTTACTAAATATGGACAGTCTGGGCTTTTTGATAAACATGGCTCCATAATGCACCGAAGATTAAAGCATAGAAAAGACAGCTTTTTAACACAAAATGAGAGAGATGAGTTGGATTCAGGTAAAAGCCATGCCTCTTATTACAGGCGAAGCAATCACAAACGAGTGGTTGT